ACTTTTTTTGTGGGGCTGTGTTATTTGTTCTTTGGGGCAAGTGTCCAATGCACAGTTTTTCTTTCTCATTTCCCCAATAGTTTCGAATGTACATAACGAACCGTAAAAGTCTGTCTTTCAAAAAATCATCGTGTTCTTTAATTTTATTTTTCAAAATTTCAACCCCTTCTTCAAACCTTCCTGGCAGCGCTAAGGCAAGACAACATGCGAAATCCAAGATTTCGCTTTCAAGCCCCTTCAAACCATGGCCATTCCAGTATTTATTGATACTCTTTAAAAATAAAATTAAAATATTGATAAATATATAATATTGAATCAATATAATTTGTCAAAAGTTATATTCAAAAATGTTCGTTATATTGAAATTGAAGTTTCCTGAAACCTCCCAGAAATTTTAGAATGTGTCCGATTCACACCGCTGGAACTCGGTTGTCAATAAGCCGGTTGTACTCAGGAGAGGTTTTCTACAGTTTTCCTACTCCTCTGGCGGGAAAACCCATTACGGGTGGTCCAGGCAAATGCGAGTACTCCTATCGTCGAAAGTCGTACTGTAGGCGCACTAGGTTAATAATTTAGAATAATTTTCAGGGTTATGCTTCCAATCAAAAAGTATTCCTCGGGGACTCTTGTCGAGAGCATTAGGCCAATAGGACAGGAGTATAAATTGAAAAAAAAAAAAAAAAAAAAATTTTGTATATTTTTATGGTTCATCAACCATTAACTCATCTGTGACTAACAATTTGGCCATTTTAAACTTATAAATATTTTAAATTATGTTTCTTAGAATAATAAAAAAAATTATAAATAACTAAAACAATGAAAGAGGTTTAAAAAAAATTGTAAATGTTCGACTTGAATTATTTAATTTTAAATTAAAAAATAAAAATAAAAAATATTTTATCAAATGTCATTTAACTAACATATAAATAAAATTAAAATAAAATATAAGTTTTACCGATGTTTAATGATCATTGTTTAAGTAAACAATAAATTGTTACCTTCGTTGTGTGAAACCAACAGTAAAACGAGAATGCCTTTGGAAATAATGACGCTATAGTGGAATGTACAGGTGTTTCACAATCTGCCATTACTTGTTTCAATTTGTCTTTTAAACATTTGCATAGTTCTTGCAGTTTTGTGAAAACACCTGAGTAAAGTTCAATCGTTCGACGGGTCATTAAAATGAAAACTGCTCTTATGCTCTATAAATATTAAGCACTATTTAATATTTATATACAATTATATTATAAGAAGTATAATACTTTAAAAAGTATTACAATTTTCTAATTCCTTTGAATTCTGTTTTTGTCAAATGTATTTTATTTTTAAACGATTTACTAAAAAAATAAAATTTTAATTTTTTCTATAAACGCACAGTAAAAACTAGAACATAATATAACCCCAGTTAATATATTTACAGTTCGTAGAAAGCGAAGAGGAACAAGAAGTATTCGAAACACCAGGCAAGGAACAAATAGGTAATACATATCCGAGATCAGATCGATTACTTAGAAGGAAATCATTAGTTAAGTTAGGAAGGCTGTGAAATAGGGTAAGGTTAGAAAAGTTTTTGAGTTAGGGTTTACCAGGATTCATAGACAATTGGATCAAGTTGGCAGGGGGTGAGAGGTTTCCCGAGAAGAAAGACGAGGGAAAAGACAGTACGGATCCTACGGAGGAACAGAGCGTAATCAAGGCAGGCTTTGGGACGAAAGATGGGCGAGGAATCGAACAGTAGTTTAGATGAGTTAAAGAAAGAACTGAATGAAAATAGGAAAAAAGTAGAAGAAAGAAGCTCAAAGACAGATCAGAGATTAGAGAGAGTTTAGTCAGAGGTAGGAAATCTGAGAGAGATGTGGGGCAAATGGGAGAAAGCAAACAGAAAGGAGAAAGAGATGGTATGTGAGCGAAATTGAATAGTTTAGAGAAAGGATATGTAGAAAAAGAGGAAGAAATATAATAGAATTGAGAAGAAAGTAGGAAATCTGAGTAGATTGGAAAAAAGAGTGGAAGAATTAGAAAAGAATGAGGTAAGCAAAAAGGTAGAAAGGGAAAAAGTGGAAGGGGATGCAGATTTGAAAAGGAAGTAACAGATTTAAAGAGGCAGGTAGAAAATTTGGAAAAGATTAAAAGAAAGCGAAATATAATAGTGAAGGGTATACAGGTGGAAAGGAAGGAGGGGAGGAAGGAAATTCAGAGTTTGCTAAATGATTTAGGCGCAAAAATTAACATTATCGGATCAGAGGAGTAGGTGTAGAGATTGACGGGAAAGTAAAAGGCATGGGTCATCGATTGAAATACTAAGGACGAAACATGGAAAGTCATGGAAGTGAAAAGAAAAGCTGAAAGGAAAAAAGGTATGGATCGAGGAAGACAAGACATACAGAGAGAGAAGAGTTAGGTAACTGCCGAAAGATAGGTAAAGATAGGTTCTTCCCATTTACAATAATTTTACGGAAAAACAATAAAAATCAATGAATAATAAGAAAACTAATGCCATTTTTTGGTTCACTCAATGGCCGCAATTTGTCAACAGCAGGCATTATGGCGCCACGTTCTGGGCACATGATACACTTATACTCGTCTGTGTGCTCGCCGCCATTTTGTTTTTTCGAAATGCACAATATTTCACATTTTCAACTACTTTTTTCAATACTTTAATTGAAAATCACGTAAAAAAACTGAGAACAGCGCGCTCGATTCAACTCTCCCCTATTATCCCTGAAAATCTTTGCCCTCTCTTTTCTCATTTCAAAGTGGCACGTATTCTACGAAACCACTTTTTTGTACAGGTGCCGCTCATTTTCTCCCACATGCCGTTAACAATACAGAATGGTTAAATTTTTATTATTTTTTAAATCTATCCTTCTTATAAAATATTAATGTTTGTCCAAATTCATATACCTTGTCCATTATGCGCATAACGATTATGTACAATTGGTGGATTTTAACAAGTTTTGGAGCAACCTTTTAATAAAATAAAATATATATTATTTATTAGTTAAACAAGCCTTTAATTTTTAATAAATCTGTGATAATTAAAAAAATGAAATAGAGCAACATCAGTAGGGAAAAATATAAATTTTGCCAAATTTTATATAATAGTGATATATTTATATAACCGTAAAATGAGGTAAAGTCGGCGTTTGAGGGTAAAGTCGGCCGGCGCTTTAAATCATTTTAAAGTTTAACTATTACTTTTTTCCAGAAGAAATCCGAGCTTTATTAAAAATGTAGTTAGAATTAATGTAAATTAATAAATGAAATACAATATTTAAGTGTTTAAAGCGCCGGCCGACTTTACCCGCAAACGCCGACTTTACCTCATTTTACGGTACATCAAACGTTCCATCCATGAACAATTCTGTTTGTTTATTCAATTCCTTCAAGAGAGTTTGACTTGTAAATAATAAGGCTTCATCTTCCTCCACCCGTACTACCTCAACAACTATGTCGTTAAATTTTTTTTTTATCAGTCTGTTCAAATGCTTTAAACTGTTGGGTTGACGATAGCCGTGTTTCCTTCTAATTCTTATTATTATTTGCTTAATGCATTACCAATTCATAGTAACAGTTTTTTTATTATTTTTGAATCTAATATATTACAAATTATTTTTTTATTGTAAAATAATAATTACTTTTTCAATTTCTAATATTATTAATGTAAGAGGTATAATAGATGAATCATCGGCCCTTAGTCGAATATAAGAAAAGCTGGAAAAGTAATCAGTTTGCGACGAGCTACGGTGTTGTATGTGTCATATAATAAAAGTATTAAACGTAATTCTAGTCTTTAGTTATTTTACAATTATCAGATGTGGGATATTAACAAGTCGCATTGCCTACTTTAATTTCGTATTTTAATTTTAATTTAAAAAGTATCAAATTTTAACTTTTCCTTGTTTTGCTCGTCGTCGTGAGTTTCGAGTTTCGCGAATTCGTAACGCTTCTTGTAAAAAAGAAAACTTAGTTCCGCTTCAGTCGAAGGAAATGGCGAAAGTTCGCAATTCCGGAGTATTTTAGTGTAGAAAATCACATTCCGAACGTGCCAACGCCACGTAGGCTGGCACTTGTGGTGATTTTCTGCTAACCGTGTGATCAAAATCTCTCGTAACCCTTCTGGATGGTTGTTAAAAAAAGTGCATTCTGAGTGAAGGTGAATTTTAGTGTTGTGAGACTTTCTGATCGCAAACGGTGAACGTTTTAAATTTGTAATAGGGAAAATTTGAAAATAGCGATCTATAAGTGGGTCAATTAGTTCTCGGAAGTGAACGTGGTGCTTCATCATAATCAGATTAATTGCGCGAGACTCGGTTTTGATTACGTCGACTACGCAATTTAAGGCCGTCCCTGTGATTCCCTTGTGGTGGGAGAAGCCTCACTGCTAGTGTACCCATGGATACTTGAAGGCCGTAAGCCGAACTCTTGGAATGTCAAATGCAGGAAAGAAAGCAGAAGCTATTAAACGCTTAAAAGAGTTCGATCCTACCGATGGATGTACGCAGCAGGCGGAAATTGTGCTGAACGAGGGAGCAGAGTCCCCAAAAGACGTAGAAGATCAGGCCGATGCAAATGCTGTCGACGGAGCAAATAGAGAACTGGACCTCTTCAGACGCGAGCATAAGTTTACACGACGCGAGATGGAACTGACAAGGTGCGGGCTAGAGTTGCTACGAAACAATCCAAACCCATCAGATCAAGTTGTTCAACAACCCGCACCTCACATGAATTTAAGACATACCGGCGCCTGTTTCAAGTGTTTTGAAATGAGCCACCAGTCCCAGGATTATTAGAATAAGAGGATTCAACCTGCGGGGAAGGATCAAGTCAGCAACGTGTCATTGAATATGTCTAGCATTGATATACAACTACACACGAACATCAGTTAGAAGCAGTCCACGGAAACCAAAAAAAGTGAGGTTGACAGGACTTTGTAGAGCCAGTATTTCAAATCTGTTACGTACGAGTTCAATGGTGGGAAGGAGACCTGTGTCTTGTCAATGGACACACTTCTGTACACGGGCAGCCCCATCAGTTTCATCAAAGAGAGCCAAGTACCAGCTGATAGTGTGCAGCCATGCGATTTCAATTCATCTCCAGAATACTTGGGAATCAACAACAGCGAGCTAAAAAGGTTGGGATTAGCATCAACGAGGGTAAGGTTAAATAATGTTGAACATGTCGATATTTTCGTGGTTCTTGATAGCACAATGCAAATGTCAGTAATTTTAGGTCGCGATGTTCTGAATATATTCCTTAACCCCCTACTACCCCCTGAGAATGGGCTGCATTTTCAATTTTTATGAATATTCTTGCACGGTGTCTAATCCTGTTTTTTAGATTGCTAAAACCGAAAAAGTACCAAAAACAAATTTGCCCCTCCCTTTACCCTCTACAACCCCCATAATACCCTTAAACCCCCTGCGAGGGAGCGGGGATTTAGATGTTCCAACCGTCACCCAGGGGTTAAAGGATGTTGTAGGGGGTTAAGGGAGGGAACAATTTATGTTTGTTTGTAATGGTGTAATTTAGAAAATGTTATAAAATAAAATAATATATTATAAATAAAACTAAAATATTTGAGTATAAAATATTTTATAACATAAAATAAAATTATATGAATTTTTATATTTTATTTTTCATGTTTTGTCAGGAAATAACGAAGAACTAGCTTTTCTAATTGTATTTAAATTAAATAAATCTCAAAAAAAGTTATCACTATTTGTAAAAATTATAAATTTAACTTTAATTATTTTGTTTTTAAAAAGATTGTTCTAAATAATATGTATTATTAAAATTAATAATATAATACGTAAAGAAATAAAAATTGCAAATTCTATAGTAGTTAAACAAGGCGGGTGCGGGACCACTTACCGACTGAGGTCGGTGATGTAAGAATCTACTTTACCGACCGCGCTAGTTCCTGTTGCCACCGCTAGATGGCGCCACCGACCAATTCAAACCCCCTTGGCGGGAAATTTGAATTTTTAAAAGTGGCTTGGCATTTTACCGACCAATTCAACCCCCCTTGGCGGGAAATTTGAATTTTTAAAAGTTTAATTTAAAGTGGCTTGGTATTCTACTTTACCGACCGAGTTAGTTCTGACCGCCACCGCTAGATAGCGCCACTTTCGATTACCGGCCAATTCAACCCCCCTTGGCGGGAAATTTGAATTTTTAAAAGTTTAATTTAAAGTGGCTTGGTGTTCTACATTACCGACCGCGTTAGTTTTGGCTACCACCGCTAGATGGCACCAATTTTTTTTATCAGCCAAGTTAAAATGGCTCGGTGGAGTTTAAAAAATTTTCTTATTGTAGAATTTTTAATGTCATTGTGTTTGAATTTTTCCGCCTTCTTTACCAACCTGGTAAGTACTGTAGCGTTTCTAATTTATTTATATAAATTTAAAGTTGTTTGACAATGGGTATTTTTAATTTCGCGGTTTAAATTTTATTGGTAATCATATAGAAAAGGCTAACATAAATTTGAGTTAAAAGTATGTAGAATTTATGGGCATTGTGTTTAAAATTTGTAAACATTATACAAATTATTGTTTTTGTACGCTTAATGTTTATTATTTATATTTTTAACTTATACCTGTAATTTTATATATTTATCGATTTTTATTGATCAAACTCATGTGGTTTTACCCTTATATGATACATACAGTTACCGAATTTACATAACATTACGAAGCATGTAAATTAGATGTCCACAACAGCCAAGCAGAAAAATACCTTGAATATGTAAATTAACAGCATTGGTGGACATAATTAAATATTCCTAATTTGGTGGAAAATGGAAAGTTGGTAGCCATGATACCATGTGCTCGCAACACTTTTATTCTTTTTCACATTGTGTGTTTCACTGAGAGGACATATTTTATCGTGTGAAAAATGGTAAGTGCAATATATTTATTTGAATAGTGTTAACATTATAATTTTTTTATAAATATCATAGAAAATGAATGTAGTAATTGTTTTTATTTCACTAACAATCATATTGTTTTTTATTTTTCAGAGTTTTCATCCTAATGGAAGATGTGGCCAATGCTGCTTCTGTCGCTTTACGATTTCTTTGAACCCATTTGTAAGTATTTTTCTGAATAGTTATTTACCAGATAAACTCATTGTATTATTAATAAAAATAGTTTTTAATTGTAATCATTTTAAAAATTTAACTTAACCCAAACTATCCTAACCTAACCTAAACTAACCTAATCTATTTATCATTAAACTTATTTTATTAATTTATTAATTTCAGGCTCCATTTACACAGCCGCAAGAACAATTACAGTTGCAACAAATGCAGGTCCAACAATTGCAAGCTCCACAGTTGCAACTTCAGGCTCAAAAGTTGCTGTCAATGCAGACTCATCCGTTGCAACTTCCACAAATGCAAGCTCAACCGTTGCAATTACCACAAATGCAGCTGCCACAGATGCAGGCTCAACAAATGCAACTGCCACAATTGCGGCCACTTCATCAACCGCGACCAGTGTTGCAGGCACAGCCACGAAAACCGCGGCAACCACGACAACCACGACAACCGCGACCTAAGTGTCCTGCAGAAGTTATCCAAGCGAATAAGGTAAATAATTATATTGTTAAGTTTAATCTTGTGAATATTTCAAAAATTTTATTTTTTAAAATTTTATTTTTCAAATTTTATTTCTCAAAATTTTATTTTTCAAATTTTATTTTTCAAAATTTTATTTTTCAAATTTTATTATTGATTCAATTTTTAGATTAATAATCCAATTTTGAATTCTTTTCCAATTTTATGAGATTTTTGATGTAGTTATTTCAACAATTTCTAATTTTTTACTTTAGCTTTTTTAAAAATTATTATTGTTTCAATTCTTGGACCAATAATACAATTTTGAATTCTTTTCTAATTTTATAAGATGTTTGATGTAGTTATTTTTATTTCAACAATTTCAAATTTTAACTTTTAGTTTTTTTTTTTTTAATTATTTGTCTAGTTTTGAAACAATTATAATAAAATTTCCAACAAATTTTTAATTATTGTTTTACATTCTACAGGAGAACGAAAAAAGTCCAAGGCAAAAGACTAGGTGGGAGCCTGTTGAGGAATACACCCCAAAACCTGTAAATAAAGATGACGATTATATTCCAACTCCAAAGGAGGTGCTTTTGAGCATGGAATCTCAACAGTCAATGCATTTAGTTGAAAACAGCACAGAGCAGTTGGTCAGGTCTCCACCTCCTCCAGCATCACCAGCCTTAAGTACTTCCAGTTCAAGTTCATCTAGTTCGAGTTCGAGTTCATCTTCCAGAAAGAAAAGGTCAACGTTGGCTTCAGAAAATTTAAGTTTACCATCATTAGAATCATCTTCAGCGCCAAATCCTGCAACGTTAAACACTACAATGCAGAACTCTTCAGCGCGAAAAACTTCTACTTCGAACTCTTCAACGTCAAGCCCTTCAGCGCGAAACCTTTCAGCGCCAGAATCGTTGACATCGAAATTGTCGAATACTTCCATGCTGAAATTGATTGTCTCTAAAATTCCTAACTTAAATGCTTCAGCGGAATCGAATGTTGAAACTGTGAAAGATTCAACGTTGACAGCTTCAACATCGAAACCTTCAACGTCGACAGCTTCATCGTCGAGAGCCTTAACGTCGACAGCTTCAACTTCGACACCTTCATCGTCGAGAACTTCATCGTCGAGAACTTTAACATCGACAGCTTCAACGTCAAGGACAATAATATTGGATGAAAATGATCCCTCTATTCAGAAAGCCACGCGGCCGGTGAAAGTGACTGGAACGAAGAGGCACAAGAAAAGTAGTGAAAAAGAAGATCCCAAAAAATCACGAAAAGATAAAAAAGACAAAAAGTTACTTTTATCTTTTATCATTCGAATATTGTTGTAAAGAAAATAAGAGAATCTGTCAGTCTCTTTTTCATTTATTATTTTGCGATGTTATTTTAAAAATAATTTAAGTGCAACGATTGTTTTTTCATACCTTGTTTCAAGTTCCATTTAAAAATTATTTAAGTGCAAAATATTAGAGATATATTTAAAAAAATCTCTTTTTTTTCTTCATGTTTATTTTCACTATGTTTTTAAAAATTACCTGATTGTAAACTGTCATTTCCTCTCAAAACTGTTGGAGAGGGACAGACATGTTTTATCTTAAAAAGCATAAGAAAAGTGTGTTATTATGTTCGTTTTACTTTTATTTGCATTAAAATATGGAAATTATAAAAGGTTTCAGCGTGTTCCTTACAGGAAGAAAAAAACATTTTTCGTTTCTTAGACAAGACTTATATTTTTATAAACTAATAAAGAAACATTATAGTATGTTAAATATCTTTGTTTATATCCTGTCCTTTATATATTTTTCTATGAAATTTATTTGTATTTTAAAGTTTAGTAGATAATTAACTTTTAATTATATTAGTATAACATTAACTTATTCATATACAAAAATTAAATATTTTATTAAAATGCTTTTAATTTGTATTTATTTTCACAAAATAATTGTTATATAATTCCTTCTAATAAAAAAAAAATTTAACGGACATTCAGCTAAGTAAATTACCGATTCTTAATTATTATAACTCTAAACAATTTAAACTATTTCCAGTATGTTTATAAAGCAAGAATATTCAATAATGGTGATAATCTTAAGTAGAAAATAATGTACATAATTTACCTGAATTATGTAGTACATTAAATGCTATCCTTTGTTAAGAATGTTATCCTTTATTTAAATATTTACATTTCATTCATTATTTACATTTTATTCATTAATTATATTTAAAAATCACAGAATATTCTATCACTCCAGGACTTTTAACACACCTTGTATTTTAGCTACAAAGTTCCATGCGTTTAAGTGAGTGTACTGAGTTGCGCGTGGCTGTGGTAGGGGTGACTCGTAGTGGGAGAGCTAGATGTCCAAGAAGTTGGCAACGCCATTTTGTTTTTTCAAAAAAATAAAAGTTGTGCTGAATTGTGCTAGGTTTGTGCTCAACTGTGCCGAAAAAAATTTTTCGAAAAAAAATTTTTTTGGCAAAAATTTCAAAAAAAAATTTTTTTTTCATAAAAACGCCATTTTGTTAAAAATAAAAAATCAAAGTTGTGCTGAACACACCAAACACCACAGAATATTGTGCTACAAAAAAAAAATTTTTTTTTCAAAAATTTAAAAAAAAAAACCTTTATTACAAATTAAATTTTTGCAATTGAAAAATATTAAATAATAAAAATTGTTAAAAATGAAAAGTTGTGCTCACTTGTGCTAAGCGAGCACAGTAAAAAACTCTTAATAAACTTTTCCCTAAAATTAATATTTTCAATGGAAAATCATGATTTTTCAAATTTGTTTAAACAAAAATTTTCAAAAGTGAAAATTTTTAAAAATGAAAAGCTGTGCTGACTTGTGCTATGCGAGCACAACGAAAAAGTTTTAATAAA